AGAACCACAGTGCCAGATGCCCACAGCTCTTCTCTTCATTTTGGTTTTGCCGCAGAAGGAGCAAGTGTACTTGGCATGCTGGCTGATTTCAATTTTCTTTACCATCTTCCTCAGCAAGGCCCCATAACGGGCCCTGTATTTACCCACGATGCCGACCTTCTTGGTGCGTTTGGCCATTGCGCCGCAAACAAACACCAAACCCAGCAAATTGTAGGTTCTTTGATTCATGAATTAGAACATTTTAAACTACTGTTTTGTTATTTTTTTGTTTTATGGAGTCAGATCATTCTGTGAAATTGCTCATCTTTCTCCCACGGAGTAGTTGGTGAATTTGAACTGTATACCTTTTCAATCTGCTCTGAAAGAATTGGCAAAAACAAGGCCCCAGGAATTGTTGGCATACCTACTGACATATTTCAACAAACAGACGCTGCTCTGGATGCACTCACCAAATTGCGCCAAGAAATCTGGAGGACAACTACCTGGCCAACTGACTGGAAGAGATCCATATTTGTTTCCATTCTAGATAAATGTGACATAATAGAGTATGGAAATTATTGAACAATATCATTAATATCACATATAAGCAAGATCCTGCTGAAAATTATCTAAAAATGACTGGAACAATAAATCAACAGAAAACTGTCAGAAGTGCAAGCTGGATTTAGAAGAGGCCATTACACTAGGAATATTATAGTGAATGTTAAATGGATCTTGGCTGAAAGCAGAAAGTACCAGTGGAATATTTATCCATGTTTCATTGACTATGCAAAGCCATTTGACTGTGTAGTTCACAATGAACTGTGGCTGACTCTGAAAAGAATGGGAATCCCAGAACATTTAATTGTACTTATGTGAAACTTATACTTGGAACAAGAGGCAGTCATCAGAACAGAGCAAGGAAACAGGACATGTTCAAAATTAGAAAAGATATATACCAGGAATGTGTCCTATCCCCATACCTTTTCAATCTACATACAGAACAGATCATGAAGGAGGCTGGGCTCTATGAGGAGATAATGTGGCATCAGGATTGGAGGACGACTAATCAACAATCTGCATTATACAGATAACACAACCCCGCTTGCTGAAATTGAAGAGGAGCTGAGGTGCTTGCTGCAGAAGGTCCAGGACTTCAGCCTTAAGTAAGGGTTGAAACTCAAAATCAAGAAAATGATGATTCTCACCACTGGGTCAATTGGAAGCATCATGATAGATAGTGAAGAGATTAACAGCTTTAGTGCTTGGAGCTACAATCAACACTCTTGGTACTAGCAGCCACGAAATTGAAAGACGAATTGCACTGGGAAAGTCTATTGCCAGGGACCTCTCCAGAATACTGAAGAACAATGATGTCAGTATGGAGATGAAGTGTGCCTAATCCAAGTAATTACTTTGCTATGTGTCAGAAAGCTGGAAAATGAGTACGGATGGTTGAAGGTGAATTGATGCCTTTGAGCTGCGGTGCTTGAGAAGAGTGTTGAATATACTTGGGACTCTTAAACAAATAGGTTTGTACTAGAGAGAATACAACCAGGCTGCTCCTTGGAGGCAAGGATTCTGAAGCTTTGCCTAACATACTTTGGGCATATTGAAAGAAGCTACCAGTCTGTGGAAAGGGATATCATGCTTGGGGAGGTGGAGGAACAGTACAAGAGAGAAAGACTCTTGATGAGAAGGATTGATTCAGTTACCAGGGTGGTGAGGTTAGATGTGTCAGAGACAATAAGGTTGGTACAGGGTAGAGCAAGGTTTAAGGCTGTTGTACAGAGTGTCGTTATGAATTATGAGTGACTTGACGACACAACAAAAACCACCACCTTTGTTTTGGCAGTGTAATTCTTTACCACTAAGCCTTTAGAGCGCACCTAAAAGTACTGTAGATCTGCTAATTTGAAATGCAAAACTTCTAAACAGATTCACAAAGCATGAGCAAGAATTAAGTAACTCTTCAAAACTTTAGAATTGAAATAACTTAAATAAAGAAAAAATCAGGAGAATTTTAGAAATAAAATATAGCAATTCAGTCTTTAAAGGAACTTTAAAATGTTTATTTCCTTATTTTGCTGTTGTCGGGTACAGCCAAGTCAAATATGGCACATAGCTACCCGAAGAACAACAGATCTGAACCCCATCATATTCTATGACATCCTCACACTTACTGACAATGTTTCCTGATGTTATTATTGTTGTTGTGCTCCATTGATTCAGAACCGACCCATAGCTGACCCTCCAGTGGATTTTCAGAGACAGTTAATCGCACAGGAGGAGAATGCCCATCCTACAGAGCAGCTGGTGGATTCAAACTGCATGCCTTTGGGATTGCAGCACAATTTCTTAGGCCACTAGAGTTTATTTAATAAACTTAAAAAAGAGTAAGTACTCAGCCCTAATTTAAGAGGTGTATGATGGGGTCCATGCATTTGCTATTTGATATGCATATTTTAGCTCTCATTTTAAATTAGTCTTAAAGTTTGAAACAAATAAAATAGAGCCAATGTGGTAGAAGTTTAAAGTTGTGAAAATCTGCTTGTTGTAAATTTAAAAATAGAAGGATTACAAGTAAAATGTGTAGGGGGACCTAAGGCCAGGAGGAGTGAGAGCAGAGGAGTGAAAATGGAAGGGGGCTAAATCACAGGGTTGCACCATTTGGTGAGTGGAAGGAAGGAGTAAAGGAAATAAGAAAGATTGGGCAGGAACCTGAAAAGACAGGGTAATGGTGGCATAGTGCAATGGTGATTAATTTATTTTTTTTAGAGCATAAATCACTTTATTTGTTATAGAAAATCCGCTAGGTGGTGGCCAAAGCTGGAGCCTGAGTCCTCTGCACGGAGACTGGTGTGAGTCTTTACAAGATGATCTGTGAATTCCTGGTAGGGAGACTTCGTGAACACCGTCTCTTTCCAGAGATCTGGGGTCAGATAGCTGTAGGTCTTTGAGATGGCATCAAAGGTGGCCTTAGCAAAGTTGCCCAGGGTAGCTGTGCAGCCCCTGGCTGAGGTGTATCAGTCATCAATTCCAGCCATCATCAACAGCTTCTTAAGCACAGGGGCCGAGACGATTCCAGTGCCTCGGGGTGCAGGGATCAGACGCATCAACACAGAGCCACAGCGCCCAGTCACCTTGCAGGGAACGGTGTGAGGCTTGCCAATCTTGTTCCCCCAGTAGCCATGCCGCACAGGGACAATGGAGAGCTTGGCTAGAATGATGGCCCCACGGATAGCAGTAGCTACCTCCTTGGAGCACTTGACGCCCAAGCCAACATGGCCCTTATAGTCTCCGATGGCGACAAAGGCCTTGAACCTGGTCCGCTGGCCAGCACGTGTCTGCTTCTGCACTGGCATGATTTTCAACACTTCATCCTTGAGGGACATGCCTAGGAAGAAGTCGATGATATCAGATTCCTTGATGGGCAGGGAGAAGAGATAAATCTCCTCCAATGATTTAATCTTCATATCTTTCATCAGGCGGCCCAGTTTGGTGACGGGGAGCCACTCCTTGTCCTCGGCTTTGCCTCCTCGAGCTCCATGGCCCCTCCCACGGCCCGGACCCCGCAGACCAGACCGCTACCGAAGCCTCCGCGGAAACCGCCGCGGGCTCCCATCCCAGGGCCTCCAGGGTCTCCAGACCCTCCCGCTGCACCTGCGTCAGCCGCCATTTGGTGTTTTCTCAGAAAAAAAGCGATGATTAATTTTATAGAACACAATGGATGGAAATGATTTTATGAAACATAATGTCAATGAAGGAAGTGGGGAGGAAATCTGCATAATAAAATTTCAATGATTTGATTTTTTAAAAAAGGAATGAAAATGTAAGGATCATGAATTGAAATGCCAAACATTACAGAAAAATCTGTCAGAGTATTTGATAGTAAATAGCTTCATGTGCACGAGAAAACCAGACAATGAATAAAGATGACCAAAGGAAAAATAATCTATTTGAATTTTGGTATTGGCAAATAATTCTAAATTACCATTAATTGTCATAGAATGGACAAATACGTCTTGGAAAAAGTATAACCAGAATGCTCCTTAGAGGAAAGGATGGCAACATTTTCCTATGTAAACTGTATATGTTGTGAAGAAGGATCATTCCCTGATGAAGGAAAGATTCCATGCTTGATAAATTTGAGTCTTAACAAAAATGAAGAAGGTCTTCAATAAAATGAATTTACATAGGACCTACAAAAATGAGTGCTAGCATAGTGAGAATGATGCAGGATAGAGTGGGGTTTCATTCTGTTTAAATTAGGAGCACTTGCTAAGGTTTGGTTGTTAAGGATAGTTATTGAATTGCACTAGACAGAAAGGTATCTAATAACAATGATACTCCTACTATTGAGTTTCTAGGACTACTGTTGTACTAAATAAACATTTTTTAAACTTATAATCATTGAGTTATGACATGCTATTTTCAATGATCCTTGTGTGGATTTGTGTTGTAATTGCTATTTTTATGCTTATTCATTTTTTAACAATTTCTGGTTTTAACCCCAGAGAGGGTGAAACCAGTTTACTCCTTGGAGGCAAGTATTTTGAGGCTCTATCTCACATACTTTGGGCACATGGCCAGGAGGGACCAATCCTTTGAGAAAGCTATTATACTTGGAAGGGTGGAGTGACAACTTATGAAAGGAAGATCCAGGATAAGATGGATTGTCTCAGTGACTGGAGCAATGAGATTACGTCTTTCGGAAATGATGAAATTGATGCAGGATAAAAAAGCTTTCAGAGCTAATGTACATAGGATCACTATGAGTCACAGGCAACTCGATGGTACTTAACACAACAATAACACAGCACAATATAGGGCAGGGTTCAGATCTGTTGTTCACAGTGTCATTTTGGGTCGTCCTAGACAGCACCTAATAACAACAACAATTCAAGAACATGAACTTTTCAAACCTATATATACATATCTGCTTCACTGCCCAACCTTTCCGATATCACCAACAGCTTGAATTTTGTGTGGATTGTTAAGAGACAAGCTAGAGAGAGCCATGTGTGAGAAGGAGCTAAGTGAGCCAATTGTGTGACTCTATAACTATTTCCATATTCTATATATTCATATTGGTATCACAACTGTGGGAGAATTTACACAACAAAAATTGGCAAGTAGTACAAATAATAGTGTTTTGCTTCCCCTGAGGAAGTTGTTTTTAAAATTAGCAAACACAT